CCCGAGGCCCGTCGAAAGGGCGGGCCGAGCGAGCGTTTCGCCTGAGGCGTCCTCACCACTTAAGATCTTGAAGCTGAGACATTGGCAACCGTTTCACGGATGGAGGGCGGGTGGTTTTCAAAATGCGGTTCTTGCCTGAGCGCCACGAACATTCGTTGTTAAGCTTACAAGAGCTTTACGGATTGAGGGCGGGCCGATTTCAAAATGTGGCTCTCGGTTGAGCGCCGCGCACGTTCGTTGCTGGAATTTATGAGCGCTTCATGGATTGAGGGCGGGTGGTTTTCAACATGTAGCTCTCGTTTGAGCGCCGCGCACATTCGTTCCATAACAATGCAAGCGTTTCACGGATTGAAGGCGGGCCGTTTTCAAATAGTGGTTCTCGCCTGAGCGCCGCGCACATTCGTGTTTGGAAACTACAAGAGCTTCACGGATTAAGGGCGGGCCGCTTACAGCACGTGGCTCTCGCTTTAGCGCCGCGCTCATTCGTTTTAAACATTTGCAAGCATTTAACGGATTGAGGGCGGTATCTTTTTAAACATTGTAGCTCTCGCCTTAGGGCCGCGGAAAACAACGCTGCAACAGTTTAACTCATTACCGTGGTTAGCGTACTCCAAAAATCGTATCGCGGAGCGACTCAGGATTGCCAGGGCGCAATCTTTGCGTTGATTCGCATTGCTGAAGTTCCAGGAACTGCGTTCTGGCACGATTCAGGGTCGTCAACACGAACCAGCCAGTCTAACCCGTGGCGTTGAAGTCCTGAAATTGCTGTTTTGGTACGGTTCAGGATTTTCACACGGTTGTCACCCAACGGGGCAGTTTCCTCAGTGGAGCTGAACCCTTGTAAGGGCCTGTGGAAAGGGAACTTGGAGGAAGGGTGTACTACAATATCGTTGACGAGTCTTGGGTTTGCACAGGTCCTCCTCCCCCTCCTCCTCCTCCTCCTCCTCCTCCTACATCTCACAGGGAATTCCGTATCGGTGTAATTTGCGAATCCTCTGCATGAAGATCCACCCTCCATGCTAGGATGGAGCGAACCAGCATTTGACGAATCTGCGTCTGAATATACGAATGATCTTCAGACGCTCTGCAGCGACCTCATCCAGCGGTAGAGCCTGGTCACTGGCTGTCGCTCTTGGCCGCGGCTGCGACAATATGCCCACCATGTCATAGAGCAACTGGCGCAAACGAATTGAATCTACATCGCCGCAACTTAAGATCTCATCAACTTGCGCTGGACTCCGATACATGCGACCTCGGTTTTCCATCCAACTGCAACCTCTTCGCTTGCAGATTGAGCGATTAAGTCGCCGCGCTCTCTTAACTTCAACGTTCGTCCAACAACCACTTCTGCACCTACATACGCTAATGCGCGGCATTTGTCAGCTTAGAAAGAGCCCCCCTCTTTGTTGCGTCGTTTTTGGAGTCTGGGCTGCTGTGCTGGCTTGGGCGTCTGTTGCGATGCGCAATCAACGTGGCCTTGCGCAACCAGATCTCTGGAATTCGCTTCCAATGCGGCTCTGGGGAACGGTGGATCTTGTCTCGGCTTCTGACAACGAGCCAAGTCACTGTCGGTGCGAACGCTGATGGTCTCAACTTCTCCTCTGTGGTGCTGGAAGTCAAGCGCCACTCTTTGATGTATGCGTGGCCCGCTGGTAGCAGGCCACAGCGTCCTCCGCGACGGCTCAAAAAGGATCAGCGTGATATCTGATCCGCATGTCTGCGCGATTGTACCTCCACCGTTGTAGTCCCACGCGCAAATTCGGCCTTGCATCGGAGCAACGTTCTGCATCTGCGTGGCCAGCACGCGGAGTTGGGCGGTGCTTCCATCACTGCTTAAGACAGACTTGCTGCGGACCCCCTTGGGGCAGTCTTGGGGCCCTCTCGGGGTCCTGCTAGGTCCCTCTTTGGCCGTCCTTGGGCGCCTCGTGGGCCGTCTTGGGGCCTCTTGAGCCGTCTGGGGGCCGTTTTGGGGTCGCTTGGGCCATCTCGGAGGCCAATGGGGCCGTCGTGGGCTGTCAGAAGCCCGAAAATGCGAGATCATTGAAACCTGTAAGCAAAACGAGGGGGCTCCGTTTATTTTTGCTCATTGGG